AAGAGGGAAGTAAAAGAAATGCAGGAGATCAAAGAATTAGTGGAAGAACTAAAGAATTCTGGGAAAAGCAATGAAAGCAGAATTGATGAAATGGAAGAACGAATAAGTGCTCTTGAAGACACAGAAATAAAAAGAACCAAAACAGAAAAGGAAAGAGAAGTATGAAGGAAAAAGAATGAAGAAAGACTTCGGGAACTATCTGACTCCATGAGGAAAGGAAATATAAGAGTTATAGGAATACCAGAAGGAGAGGAGAGAGAAGTAGGAACAGAGAAAATATTCAAAGAGATAATTGAAGAGAACTTCCCAAATGTGAAGAAGGAGCTGAAAATTGATATACAAGAAGCAAGAAGAACACCAAACTTCCACGACGAAAGAAAAAATACAGCAAGACACATAATAGTAAAGCTCCCAAGAATCCAGGACAAGGAAAAAATAATGAAGCTGGCAAGAGGGAAGAAACAGATAACATTCAAAGGAAAACCAATCAGGCTGACATCAGACTTCTCCGAAGAAACACTACGGGCAAGGAGAGAGTGGAGGGACATAGTCAACAGACTCCAAGAAAACAGATGCCAACCAAGAATACTCTATCCCGCAAAGCTCTCCTTCCTCTTTGAAGAAAGAATATGGACCTTCCCAGACAAACAGAAACTCCGGAATTTCATTGCAACTAAACCCCCACTCCAAAAAATACTACAAGGAGTCCTAAAGCCAGAACCTCAGAGGGACGAATAACAATGAAAGAAGGCCAAAAAAAAAAAAAGTTATTAAAAGAATAAATAAATAAAATCAAAGGAAAGACAAACACAATGGCAAATACAGATGTTAACATATCAATATTAACTCTAAATGTAAATGGACTAAACTCTTCAATAAAAAGACACAGAGTTGCAGCCTGGATTAAGAAACAAAACCCAACCTTTTGCTGTCTCCAGGAAACACATTTAGCTACAAAAGATAAAAATAGGCTCAAAGTCAAAGGATGGAAAACAATCCTACAAGCAAATGGGCCAAAAAAGAAAGCAGGAACAGCTATACTTATATCAGATAAAACAGATTTCAAACTCAAAAAGATAAAAAGAGACCCCAATGGTCACTACATTATGATCAAGGGACAATACTTCAAGAAGAAATAACACTCATTAACATATACTCACCAAACGAAGGAGCACCAAAATATATCAGACAACTGTTGTCTTCTCTGAAAACAGACATCAGAGAAAACACATACGTAGTGGGAGACTTCAACACACCACTATCAACAATGGATAGATCAACAAGACAAAAAATAAGTAAAGAAACCAAAGCTCTAAATAAGGACCTAGAGCAATTGGGCTTAACAGACATCTATAGAACACTAAACCCCAGAAAAACGGAGTACACATTTTTCTCAAGCGCACACGGATCATTCTCCAGGATCGATCACATACTGGGGCACAAGACAAACATCAACAGATACACCAAGATTGAAATCATACCAACCATCTTTTCTGACCATGAAGGCATCAAACTAGAACTAAACCATAAAAAGAAGGCAAGGAACTTTCCTACCTCATGGAGATTAAAAACCACACTACTGGAAGACCACTGGACTAATGAGGAGATCAAAGAAGAAATTAAAAAATTTTTTGAATTGAACGACAAGGAGGACACCAATATCCTAAATGTATGGGATGCAGCAAAAGCAGTAATAAGAGGAAAATATATAGCAATAGAAGCTCACATCAAGAAACAAGAAAGAACTCAAAGAAACAACCTAATCTCGAAGCTCAAAGATCTAGAAAAAGAACAACAAAAAAACCCCAAAACCAGTAGAAGAAAAGAAATAATAAAAACCAAAGCAGAAATAAATGAAATTGAAACTAAAAAAACAATCCAAAAGATCAATGAAACCAAGAGCTGGTTCTTTGAAAAAATAATAAAATAGACAAACCCCTAGCCAGGCTCACAAAGGAAAAAAGGGAGAAAGCACAAATAAACAGGATCATCAATGAAAGAGGAGAAATCACAACGGACACAGCAGAAATCAAAAGAATAATCAGTAACTACTATGAACAGTTATATGGAAATAAGTTTAATAATCTAGAGGAGATGGACAAATTCCTACAACTCTACAATCACCCAAAGCTAGATAAAGAAGAAATAGAACACCTAAGACCAACCAATTACAATTAGCGAAATTGAAATGGTAATCAAAAACCTCCCCAAAAACAAAAGCCCAGGACCTGATGGATTTACAAATGAATTCTACCAAACATTCAGAGACGAATTAGTGCCTATCCTTCACAAACTCTTCCAAAAAATTGAGAAGGAAGGGACAATACCAAACACGTTCTATGAAGCCAACATTACACTAATACCAAAACCGAACAAGGACAACACTAAAAAGGAAAACTACAGGCCAATCTCCCTAATGAACACTGATGCAAAAATCCTCAATAAAATTTTAGCCATCAGAATCCAACAATGTATCCATAAGATAATTCACCACGACCAAGTAGGATTCATTCCAGGGGCACAAGGATGGTTTAACATCCGAAAATCAATCAACGTTATTCAACACATCAACAAAAAGAAATATAAAAACCATATGATAATATCAATAGATGCTGAGAAAGCTTTCGACAAAGTGCAACACCCATTCATGATAAAATCCCTTGAAATTCTTGGGATACAAGGAACATACCTCAACATCATAAAGGCCATCTATGACAAGCCAACAGCCAGCATCATTCTCAATGGTGAAAAGCTGAAAGCAATTCCACTAAGATCTGGAACAAGACAAGGATGTCCACTCTCACCACTGCTTTTCAATATAATACTGGAAGTCCTAGCCAGGGCAATAAGACAAGAGAAAGACATCCAAGGAATCCAAATAGGAAAAGAAGAAGTCAAACTATCACTATTTGCAGACGATATGATATTATACATAGAGAACCCCAAAAACTCCACAGAAAAGCTAATTCAACTCATCAATCAGTTCAGTAAAGTGGCAGGATACAAAATCAACACGCAAAAGTCAGTAGCCTTCCTATACACAAACAATAAATCTGAAGAAGAAGAAATCAAAAAAACCATCCCTTTTGTTATTGAAACAAAAAAAATCAAATATTTGGGAATAAATCTAACAAAAGAGATAAAGGACCTATACAAAGAAAACTATAAAACACTGTTAAAAGAAATAGAAGAAGACACAAAGAAATGGAGAGACATCCCCTGCTCGTGGATTGGAAGAATAAACATTATTAAAATGGCCATTCTTCCAAAAGCAATATACAGATTCAATGCTATTCCAATCAAAATTTCAATGTCATTCTTCAAAGAAATAGAACAATTATTGATGAAATTCATATGGAATCACAAAAAACCCCGAATAGCCAAAGCTCTCCTGAAAAAAAAGAAGGGAATGGAGGCATTACACTCCCAGACTTCAAGCTATACTACAAAGCCATAATCATCAAAACTGCATGGTATTGGAACAAGAACAGACATACAGACCAATGGAATAGAATAGAAAATCCAGAAATAAATCCACAGATTTATGGTCAACTAATCTTTGACAAAGGAGCAAAGACTATGCATTGGAGCAAAGAAAGTTTGTTCAATAAATGGTGCTGGGAAAACTGGGTCGCTACATGCAAAAGAATGAAGCTTGACCACTACCTCACACCATACACAAAAATCAACTCAAAATGGATTAAAGAACTAGACATAAGACCTGAAACCATAAAATATATAGAAGGAAATATAGGCGAAACACTACGTGATCTGCACATCAAAGACATCTTTACAGACACATCACCCAAAGCAGTGATAGTGAAGGCAAAGATAAACAGCTGGGACTACATCAAATTAAAGAGCTTCTGCACAGCAAAAGAGACAATAACAAAAACAAAGAGAAACCCCACCAACTGGGAGAACATTTTTGCACCCAACACTAATGATAAAGGACTGATCACAAAAATCTGCAAAGAGCTGATGAGACTCAGCAACAACAAAGAAAATAATCCAGTCAAAAAATGGGCAGAAGAGCTAAAAAGAAACTTCTCTGAAGAGGAAATGCAAATGGCCAACAGGCATATGAAAAAATGTTCAACATCACTTGCCATCAGGGAAATGCAAATCAAAACTACCATGAGATACCATCTTACACCAGTGAGAATGGCACATATTAAAAAAACTAGCAACAACAAATGCTGGCGAGGGTGTGGAGAAAAAGGAACTCTTCTGCACTGTTGGTGGGAGTGCAAACTGGTCCAACCACTGTGGAGAGCTGTGTGGAGATTTCTGGACCTACTAAACATAGAGCTTCCATATGATCCAGCAATTCCACTCCTAGGTATTTACCCAAAGGACACAGAAACATCAATTCCAAAGAACACCTGCACCCCTATGTTTATAGCAGCACTGTTTACAATAGCTAAGCTTTGGAAACAACCCAAATGCCCAAAAATAGATGACTGGATCAAGAAGATGTGGTACATATATACCATGGAATATTACTCAGCATTCAAAAAAGATAAACACATGCAATTTGCAGCAACATGGATGGCGCTGGAAGGGATCATGCTCAGCGAAATAAGCCAAAAAGAAAAAGAAAAATACCGGATGGTCTCACTCATAGCAGGAATCTAGAAAACTTAAATAAGGGACCAGGAAAATGAATAACTATAAGAAAGTGAAAATCAAAATCAACAAAAAACTATGAACCAGAGACACTTTTAGGGGGGCGGGGGCGGGAGGGAGGGATTGGGGTCAGAATGGGGGGGCTGCAATTGTATGGGGAATATAACAATAAAATTATTAAAAAAAAAAAAAAAAAAAAAACAGTCATGCTATCAAAACAGGCAACACAATTCATGCTGTTTAGAAAGATATTCTAAGATATTTTTGAGAGATGTGACAACAAATAAGGGAGGCTTCTAAGAGATTTTCAGTAGATTCTCTGTCTATAAAACATCAGTAAGTGGATTCTCTGTCCACAGGCAGAGATCTACCTTGACTCTGTCTGTGCGACTGTTGAAAAGTCCGATGCGTCTGATGGTGCTGAGGATGGGGTCACTGGAGTCATCGATCATGTTGTGTGTGGTCACTGGAGGCAAAGACTGTCGCTGCAAAGCAGGGGACGGAAAATGTCAATTATGGAGGGAGCTGGCGTGTGACTAATTGCTGCCATAGGTCAGCAGCAACTTGTCATCCAAGCTTTCTGCCTGGTCTTCTAACACTAACGATGACACTAGAATGATGACTAGATTCTTCGTGGGTTTCAGAAGAGGATAATGGGTTGAAGAACTTGGAATGTTGTGAACACCTGATGCTTTTGCTTTTTACCTGCAGCTGTGAAGAGTTTCCTGACAGCTTCTGGGCCTGAATGGGAGAAGGATGCCCTGAAATCTGAACTCAAGGTGGCCCCCCCTCCGGGTTCCATCTAGCAGGCTCACCTCTGGAGCCTGGATGCAAGACAGACACAGCATTCCCCTATGTGATAAACCGCTCAACTGAGAAACATTTTTTTCTCTATTGTGACTCAAAAATCCATGCTTTTTGACAACATGAGGGATTTTTGGCTGTCATTATCATTACAATATATACTTTTTCAATTAGATATGCTATTTCTGAATAAATAGTTTAAGTGGATACCAAAAAAGCCCCATGAGATTTTTTTTTTTTTTAAGATTTATTTTATTTTATTTATTTATTTATACAAGCACTGGGTAGAGTCAGAAGCGCGGGAGGGTGAGAGAATTCGAGAATTCGCCAGAGCCAAAGCTGGGAGCAGAGCAGGCAGAAGGACGGAAGTACACTGCTGAAGGGAGCAGCGGGCGGCAGGAGAGGTCTGAGCGCCATGTGGGACCCTCCTGTGGTGGCTGGGGAGCAGCCGGGGATCGAGCCGGCGCCTCAGAGGCTGCGGGCAGCTTCGCAACCCAGCGCTCAACAGCTGCGCCACCGGGGAGGCCCCCCATGAGATTTTTTTTTTAAGGCATTCCTAAAGCCACTCCTAAAAGAGAACTCACAGAGTTGTCACTATGGTAAACACCCAAGAATGACTTTCCTAGGCCTCCCTGGTGGCACAAGAGGTTAAGCACTGCACTATGAAGCAATCCACAGCCTCTGCAGCACAAGTTCGATCCCCGGCCGGCCAGGGAGCCACTCACATGGCGCGGGAGACCTCTCCTGTCTCGCCTGCTGCTCACCTCAGCGGTGTATTTCAGTCATTCTGCCTGTTCTGTTCCCCACTCTGTCTCTGGTGAATCTTCTCACCCCCCGCATCTCTACCCTGTACCCCAGGTTTTGTATGCATAAATAAAAATAAATCTTTAAAAACAAAAAAAGAATGACTTTCCTAGCTCTGGGGTTTAAAAATTCCTCAAATTAACTCATCCCAATAAATTAAAATCATGACTGAAATGGATTTTAATCATCTAAGAAGTGGTGGGCAATTTTGCCTTTATTACCTGAGTCGAAAAGATGGCTCTTTTCATTATTGTTAGATCATCTCGATCCAAAATGCTGTTCATGTCAGGAACTTCTCCTCTGTGGGGAAAACAATGTTCATCATAAAGATAAAAACAACTGGCAGTAATTGAGGTCTTTCTGTGTCACACACTGTTCTGAGCACTTTAATAATAAATGGACAGTAAAAAAAGAGTTTCCTGATGAACCTCACAGATACATTCCTACAGTGTGAGGAAGTTTGATGAAAGAACACATTTTATAACATAAAAAAAATCAGAAAGTTGGTCCTCAAAACACTAAAGATGGATCTACCATATGATCCAGTGATTCCAATCCTAGGAATCTACCCAAAGAACACAAAAACTCTTACCCGAAAGGAAACCTGCACTCCTACATTTGTTGCAGCACTATTTACAATAGCTAAGATATGGAAAAAACCTAAATGCCCCAAAACAGATGAATAGATCAAAAAGTTGTGGCATATATCCACAATGGAATACTACTCAGCAATCAAAAGAGAGAAACTCATGCCTTTTGCAGCAACATAGATGCAGCAGGAAGAAATTATGCTAAGTATAATAAGTCAGAAAGAAAAAAATACCAGATGGTTTCATTTATATGTGGTAATAGAGAAACTGAAGAAAAGGTTAAAAAAAGACAAAATTTGTAAGTTGATCATACATCAGAGGCATACATCTGGGAGGAGGTGGGAGAGGTGTCAAAACAAGAGAGGGAAGACTATGGTGATGGATCATGGATCGTGTGGTAGTGGGAGAACAAAGAGACTGCAGCTGAGGGGAAAAAGCAATTATTGTACAAAAATGAATGACAATGAAGAAAAATAGTGGAAATTCATTTGAAAGTATTAAGGTTGACCATCCAGAAGCCTCTTCCTGAGTACTAGGGTCTAAAGTGACTATAACTCATCCCTCTGCAGGTTGATGTTGATGGACACCTGCCACAGGGGTCGGCAGACAATGTAACCCTCTTGGAATCATATCCATAGCCACATATTAGGAGTATACTATCTCATGATACATTTAAATTTGATTTTCTTCTTCTGAGTCACTCTATATATACATTTAGGTATTCTCTTCATTTTATTACTTATTTTTTTTAAGATTTATTTATTTATTTATACAAGCACTGGGTACAGTCAGAAGTGCGGGAGGGTGAGAGAATTCACCAGAGCCAGAGCGGGGAACAGAACAGGCAGACTGACAAAATACACTGCTGAAGGGAGCAGCGGGCAGCTGGAGAGGTCTGTGCATCATGTGTGACCCTCACCTGTGGCCGGGGATCGAACCAGTGCTGCAGAGGCTGTGGGCAGCTTCGCAGCCCAGCGCTCAACTGCTGTGCCACCAGGGGAGGCCCTTATTACTTATTTTAATAAATAATGTCTGCTCTTTATGGAGTAAATATGCTTATTAAAATTAATCAGTGGGTTAGTTAATATGGGTTAATTTTATATATAATTAAATATATTAATAAATCATTTTTTTAACTTAAAATCTCAGGAAATATCCTCTCTGAGATGTTAATCCTGAACAAGATTCCCAGGGAATTAGAAGCTACCTGTATATGCAACTATGTCCTCATTTATATGACCTGTTTGCAAGTATTTGTCAGATGCAGAATAAAAAAATCACATGATGTAATACCTCTTCAAAGGCTATTACTTCCTCAGTATTTTGAATGAAATAAATGTATCCCAGTGTCTATATTATCAAGCATTCCCTATTCACTTTGAATAGTGAAGCCCTAAATGTTTGAAGGATTAATTATTTCCAGCACCTACCTTAACAATGCATCGTAGAGTTTCTTTCCAAATTTTTCCTTCAGGGTATGTGCCGTGTCCCTGTGTGAACAGAAAGATTTCTCATTGAAATATCATCATTTTGAATCCTTATTTTCCATGCCAATGTATTATTTTGTCAGCCATTCTGGGAAAGTCTATCTTTTTGAATTATTTTCCTACTTGTCCATTTAGCCTGAGTTAGTACTTCAGAACAAAAGCAGAGGAGAGCAGTCTGACCACCCCCAAAATACCTCATTTTATTTATTTATTAAAAAGATTTATTTATTTATTTATGCATACAAGAACAGATGTGGGGGATGAGAGGATTCACCAGAGACAGAGTGGGGAGCAGAACAGGTGGATCCACTGAAATACACTGCTGAGGGGAGCAGCAGGCGAGACAGGAGAGGTCTGCTGCGCCATGTGGGTTAGTTCCCTGGCTGGGGATCAAACTCATGCTACAGCGTCTAGTGATAGCTTGATAGCTCTGTCTTTAACCCTTGCACCATCAGGGAGGCCCCATTTTGTTTATTCTCCTTGATAATTATCAGGGAAGGCAAAAGGCAGGCAGAGGGAGAGAAGGGAGATGTAGAGATAACAAGACTGGGCATTCATTGATAATTTTGCCTCTGGGCTGTCAGCATGGAGGGGTCATTATACTATTCTTTTTACTTTGACCTATCTTTTAAAATGTCCACAGTATGGGGCCTCCCCTGGTGGCACAGCGGTTGAGCGCTGGGCTGCGAGGCCCGCAGCCTCTGCAGCGCAGCTTTGTTCCCCGGCCTCTGGCGAGGGCCCCACAAAAAAAAAAAAAAAAGTCCACAGTATGATTTAAAAAGATTTTCATCTTTAAAGATGTCTACATAGACTTTCAATTTCTCTGGCAACTCATTCCAAAGGTCCATAGTAACACAGCTTTGCAGGCTATTAAATCTAGCACAATGAGAAGAGATCTCTGGAGTATTTGTGCCATCCCAAACTTAAGGAAAAAATAATTCAAGGAGATATATTGTTGGGGGAACAGTATGTCCTGAATGAAATCCATCCACTGTTGTTTTACAGACTCTACCCCTACCTGCATGCTAAAGAGATCCCAGGCCCCCAAGGATTACATCTCCCATCATGCCATGGATCTGCATGACTCTCTACTTCTTAAAGGAGGGATTATTGGGAACTAAGGGTGGAGTTAAACAGACATGCTGGTATAAAACCAAAGATATGTGGGCCTGGAGGGGGCTTGGTTTTGACTGCCTACAGCATGCACTTGGGGTCCCAGCTCAGACAGCATCACTGGTAGGACATATTACCTATTAATCTCTCCTTCTCTTCTCATATTCCTTGGAAATAAACCTTTTATTAACCTTTCCCTGGGTGCCTGCCCTGGAGTTTTATTGAGTTGTTAAGCAAGAGGGTGAAGATTCACATTCAGGTGCTTTGGGGTATCCCTTTTGGGTAGCCCTGTAACAATATCAGAAATCATTCACTTAAAAACAAAACAAAACAAAACACCCTGGGCCTCGCTGTTGGCCTAGGGGTTAAGTCTCAGCACTATCACTACCACAGCCTGAGTTTGATACCTGAAGGGGGCTAACCCATATATGGTACAACAGACCTCTCCTGTCTTAACTGCTGCTCCCCTCAGCATTTTGTATTTCAGTCGATGACTGTTCTGCTCCCCACGCTGTCTCTAGTGAATCTTCGCACCCCTCCACCTCTGGCCTACACTCCTGTTCTTGTCTGTAAATAAATAAATGAACATATTTTTAAAAAGACACCCTTTACTCTTGTGGCTTGAGGAAGTTTACAGGAAGTGAGGTTACCACAGCTGTTTCCGTACTGCTTGGCCTTTCAGGGTTTCCACGTTGAAATTATTGGTCTTGGCAGGCATGATGAAAAATACCACCACCGTGACATCACTTCTGTGCATCTGAGGAGGGAGTGAGACACAAGAGTCACCTATCAAAGACAGATGAAATGGATGTGTGACGGGTGGGCCTTAAGTTGTAGGAAACTGGTTTTAAATATCTTTTGAGAAAAAGATGACTAATGTCTGATTCACAAAGAAATGATGCCCAGTGTCCCGAGGCTTTTTCAGAAAATTTAATTTCAATTTGATTTTCGATCGAGATCTGTCAATTAGAAAATTCAGACAAAATATTTTCAAGGCCTCACCCATCTAAAATATCTAACAAGTGGTAAATTTAATGTTGTATAGACACTTGGTAGATTCTCAATGGTGTACCCCTGACATGTACATTATGTTATACTGCAGAGTTACTTTAATTTAAAAAAGAAAAACTAATGATTGCTATTGATACCACTGTGATTTTCTGTGGTTAACAAAAGGAACATAAGGTATGTGCTAACATTATAAGGCCAAAATGAGTTCTTTAGGGTCTCCCCGGTGGCGCAGCGGTTGAGTGCTGGGTTGTGAAGCTGCCCGCAGCCTCTGCAGCGCTGGTTTGATCCCTGGCCACAGGTGAGGGTCCCACAGGGCACGACAGACCTCTCCTGCCACGCCTGCTGCTCCCCTCAGCAGTGTACTTTGACCGTCTGCCTGTTCTGCTCCCTGCTCTGGCTCTGGTGAATTCTCTCACCCTCCCGCGCTTCTGACTGTACCCAGTGCTTGTATAAATAAATAAACAAATCTTAAAAAAACAACAACAAAATGAGTTCTTTAAAGTTTTAGATGGAAGTTAATGAGGATTTTGTTTGGTTCACTCTAACTTTGTTTCTTGCTTTTCCACAGTGGTTTGTAGACTGCATTTTTCATTTAAATGTCTTAATTCTCAGGATGCTGCATTTTGGTGTTTTCTCCCTAACATAAAGGAACAGGAAGATGTTGAACATTTCTCTTGTGGCAGGCACTGAGCAAGGTCCTTTAAAGACCTATTAACCCAATCCTTCTAATAACAAAGCACAGTAGATGACACTGTTCTTCTTTGACTGATGGCAAAAGACAGACACTAGAGACTCAATATTGTTAGACATTTAGGGCAAGGAGGGAAATGCCTAATGAAAATCAATATCAGGACCCAGGAAACACTTTCCAGAGCTAATAAAGCCTGCAGGTAGAAAGAACGCCCCCCACCAATGCCCCAATCTACAGGAAGGTTGATAAAACCCAAGGAGCACAAGACACACCCAGAAAAGGGGACTTCCCCAAACCAGCAGCTGGTTTCTGGATGTTAAGACAGTTTACCTAAATAGGACAAGCAATACCCCAAAGACCCCCAAATGCTCTCCCTTACCACTCCTTGTGGCCTGGGCCCATTAGAAGTGGGAGTGACTTAGAGTCTGCTGCCTGGACCAGTAAACCAACACCCCAGGAGCACCTGGGCAGTATACCCCAGGATGGGATGGAGTGAAGAGGTCCTGCACCCCATTTAAGACTAGAGCCTCCACAAATCCCTTACAGTTGTTCTTACAGGAACTCTGTTTGCCCAGGCACCTCTCCTTGGGGGTCCTTTTATTCTGTCTCCAAATAAACTTTGTGTTTGCTTCTTCTAAAGACATGACTGTGAATTCTTCTCACACAGGTAAAACCGAGGAACCTCAAAATCCAGGCACCTCAAAATCCAATAACAATATTCACTCAGAAATCTATTTTCTTTTCCTCTTCCTGCAAATACCATTGGCTCAGATCTCTCGAAATGATATATCAAACAGCTGCAGGAATGAACAAACACAAAACCAAAAACATCTGATGCTTCTGTGTCCTGAAAAGGACAGTATCCTGAGTGTGGTCACTTTATCACACTCTGGGTTTGATATCTGATTTAAAAATCTGCATAAGTCATAGAATAAGAAGCTCACCCCAGGAGCAGCCAAAGAGGTATTCACGAATAAATGAATGACATGGGGAGAGAATATCTTCTTTTACCTTCTGCAAGTTTGTAATCACCATTGATAGCCACAACAAAACAGTTGCTGTTTTCTGCACACCTAAAGCTAAAGGGGATACTTAATAAACTTATGGATAATTTGACTGATAATGTCCCTGAACATAATGCATGTCGGCTATCATTGTTATTTCCATCTATGAAGCTTGTAGTATAGACACATACTGAAAAATAGTATGATAAAAGATTATTCCATCTTATTCTGGAATCATCTTTCAGAACTTCAGTACTATTGTGCAGACTTGGGTTTTTCCTGACACATTGCTTTCTTATTGTAGTTTTAGTAATTCTTTTACATACTTGCTATAATATCTGCCCTAAGGTAAAGCTAGATCTATTGTTATGTCCCAGAAATTGAAATTTGACTAGCGAGGAATAGAGAGCTTAGGGAAGTTTAGATAACCTCAGTATCTCAACAACATTGAAATTTCACACTGCTCTCCAGTGAGTATTTTATTGCTATTTATTATATATTTTTATGTCCTAGAATATATGACAGTGGCTTTAATCCATAGTTATGACATGATATCATTTTCCAAAGTTGTTTCTATTGGCACGGTTGTTTGTTTTGTTTCGCCGGACTAGCTAGGAGTCTATTTTTAGTGCCACCTTCCTGAGCATAAAGTAATTCCACATTGTTGGGCTGGCTGAGGAACCTCCTTCCCCTCCCCTCCTGTTTCCTGGTGGTGGGATATTGAGTTTCACAGCTCCAGGCTCTGAGCCTCAAGAAGGAGGCAGGAACAGTGAGTTGGAAGGAGCAGAGTGTGTTATCTGCTCAGGTCTACACAGTGGCTACCTGACTGTCGCCCATGTGGAACAAGTTACTGCTTCCTCTGGGGCAGGATAGTGGTGACCAGAGCTGCTTGTAATTCGATAGCTGAGCTGAACCCACCATTCAGGATCAGCAAGTCAATGGCTGCCATATCACCCAAGCTGCCTCTTCCATTATAGTCTTTGCCCATAATTAAAAAGGTAAAATTTTGTTCTCCATTGACCTGCTTTCTCTAAACTTATCTTCTAGTTGGTTACAAACTCTGGCTGGTACGTGTGTTTGTGTGTGTGTTATTATGACATCTTAAAACATAGCACGTGGGATGCAATCAGCTCATGACTCTCTTTAAAAAATATCTGACAACACAGGAAAAGACACACGTGGACAGTGGGGCAATCCGGTGTGTACACTGCAGACAGAGGCCATTTGTAGAATGTGGTTGTCATTGTGAATCTTCAAGAGCATATATTCTCTTGAAAGTTATTTAAGGAACCTGAAAGTTCTTTACTTCCCACAAAGAAAGTCCTATAGAAAGCACTGTTAGTTAGTTCCAAGAGCTTTCTCACCCTCAGCAGGAAATTCAGCCTGGATAAAGATTCTAGGAAGATGTCAGCTCCTTTGTTTGAAAACTCATACCTCCCGGCAATGAAAAGGAACAAAGTTTTTTCAAGATCAAAGTCCAGATGACTAAAACAAAACAGAACAGGTTCAAATGAAATCGAGCAATGGAATGACGTACACACAGGAATTCTGTTCAAATCTAAGCGGACAGGAAAAGATAAACATTTACCTGTTTTCTCTATACCATAGATCCCATGCCAGTTTTTGTTGTTTTTTGTTTTACTAAAGAAAAACATACCCATAGAAATGACCTCGAACAAAGTCTTGGATCCTGGCCTTGTACATGGCATGTAGATTTTGAAACTCATGTACTGCTGAAAACTTCTTAACGTTCAAACCATTTGGAGTAATTACATCTGGAATAGCAAAATAAAATCATCATGAAAAGTTTCTTGAGAGATAGACTCTCAAAACTGTTTTAAAATCTATAAAGTTTATGGAAACAATGATGTGAACTAACATTAACTCAAGGAAAAATATTTAAAGAATAAAAAATAATTAAAATCTATAATGTTAGATGTTAGATTACTTTGCTAGTTTCTGACTGTAATGTGCCACCTTAAGGTACACTGCACCTGGCCAAGTAATAATAATCATAATAATAAATAATAATAATATAATAATTGTGATAATTACCAGGCTTTCTCTTCAGCATGTGTTCTGCCTCTATGGCTGTTATTTCAGACACTGTGGTGAACACGTGAGCACAGTGGACAGAAGCTCTCTCCATGCAGTACCGGTGATAAATCTGCCTTTCCCCTGCCTCCTTGTCTATGTCAAACTGTCACAAAGAAAACACATTTACATTTGCAGGCCCTGATCCTTCAGCAGAGCAAAACAAATTCACACGTTCTCATAGTGCTTTTAGGCTGTGGGAAATTTTATGACCACAAAGAAAAGTAATAATTCGACCTATACTAAAATACATAGTTTCTTAATTTTCACAATTGTTTATTTCACTTCTGCTTCTAAATACTATTTAACTACCTAAGTAAGTAAATGAGTTTTCTACTTTGTTATAATCACATAGATTTCTTGATTTTTTTTTGTATTTTACTTATCCTACATTATATAAATATTCAGTTAATTCCTTAGCCTATTTCCCTCCTAAACAAGCAAAGATGACATTAAACTTGATACTGAAAATAAATTGTTACCATCCTTAATTCACTGAAAGGGAACCTGACAGAGAAAAAAAAAGGCGTTTCCATGGTTATATAACTCCCACCACAGTATAATTTTAGGGACTATACAGTTACTTTAATTAGAGTGTGTGTTAGATTGCTCAATCATTTATTATTCTGGCTATCTTAAGAAAGAGCAAGCCAACCCCCCAACAATTACTTGAAAAGTTGGTAAGAGCTATGGCCTTTTGGGATGAGAGCAAAGAAGGTCTATGGGTGCTTTGGCGGAGGGTGTGGTGTGGTGGCATACAGCTCAGGAGATGTGAAACTGTTCCCCTAAGTCATATACAGCAGTATGAGCCAAATTTACCTCAATTAAAAAAAGAGAGAGAAGTCAAAGTATAACAGGGTAATCCTCAGGGAAAGGGGAGGTTCCAGGGTCCCTGCCCTGTCAGGAAAGGTGGAGCTGGGCAGGGAGGAGAAGCTAGAGGAGGCAGGAGGAAGGAAGGAAGATGGAGATCAGAATGGGGACCTGGAGGAAGCAAATGGGATAGAGACATGTGAAGAAGCTGCACTTGCTTCTCAGCCTTGGATTTGTAACAGGGACTTGGGGCACCTGGAAGGAGAATCTTGAAACAGAGGTGAGAGACCCTGGGGAGGCTGACAGTAGCAACATTTATCTTGATTTTGCTTTTGCTTTTTTGCTTCCAGACTTGTCTGGGCTCTTCTGCCCCTTTCCTATGGTTCCCACCAGAAGGTGCCTTAGACTTGTGGCAGGCTTTTGGGCCTCAGCTGTCCTGCTTTGGGCCAACCCTGTTTGGCTGAGCATTTACCCACAAGGGGATGGGTAACTTTGGGTGTTTAATTGGAAACCCTTTTAACTATATTATTTCTCTTCTCTTTATTGTACACTAATTATATTAAAGTTATTTTCTATTGAAGGTCTTATGCGTCAGAGTATGTTTTGTCTTGATGTGGAGGGTGGCAGAACCCATTTAGAATGAGAAGAATCCATTTAGTAAGGGCAAGTGTACCCCTTCTCCTACCCTGTAACAAAAGTATGAAAACCTTACAAGAAAAAACACTAATTATCTAGCTCTCTATAGTTATTGCCAAAATTAACCAAGGACTAGACTTATAGGGATAACTTTGGAAACACCTTTTGGAAAGCCTCAGAGAATTCATATTCTGGCTGGAAATGGTTGCAATTTTATTTTAGCTAATAAATTGAAAAACTTACACTATATCAAGGTCCTTGTGAATTGACTATTATCACAAACCGTTTTCAGGCAGCAATCAGTATTTGAGTAAAACAGTTGTAACGTTTCTTCTTTTACAAAACTTGAAATTTTGATTCTTGTTCTCATTTCCCCCCAGGTTTTATTGCCTGAGGCAGAAATGATCCTGGGTCTTGCACCAAAGACTAACTTATGGCTCATTCCTTGTGTTGACCTTTTAAAATCTTCTCAGGTATACAATCAAGTGTTTTTATAAATCACCCAAATTCTAAAGTTAGACTGAACATGGGATCTGCTGTAGAAAGTGATTATGGAGATTTTTCTGTGACAAACAATGATGAATTTAATTCAAAATGTAGTTATCTACTACTCACTACTGGGCAGGATGTTTTACAGAATGGTGGACTGGGATCTGACTCAGCTTATGCATTTTGACACAGACTCATATTTGAACACAATATGATATAAATACTGACCTATCATCAATGGGTAAAGTGGTGGTATTGAACTAAATAGTACTATGCATTTGTTCTTTAAAAACAACTCACAATACCTGGTGTATATTAGCTGTTTTTATTAATTGTTATAATACCTTGCTCTTTAGTAATCTGTAGTGAGAAATATTTGATAGGCCTCTTTAATTTTTTTTTTTTTTTTTTCACAAAAATGAAAGTCTGCTCTTCTCCAGGAAACGGTTGTTGAGCTTACCACACATCACTGGTTTGCCCTTATTAGTCTACCATTGATCACACACTATTAGGAAATTTCCCTCATCTCCTGGCTTGCAGAATTCCATGGTGGCCTTATTTTAAATGTTCCTCTTATGTTTGCAATTTGACCTTTAGATTAGGCTGGCCTTTTTATAGGAAAATTCTCATTGGGACTATTCATTGCTTTGCAAATGTTAAAGTTTGTCAGAAAGAACTTTTCTGTACTCAAACTCTCTTTGAGATAGTTCCATAACCTTCCATTACTACTACGTGAGAAATAGTCACACCTCTCTCTCTCTCTCTCTTTCTCCCCGCCCCCCCCACACACCACAAATGCAAATATTTGTTTTATAAAATCCTAGAACTTTTCAAAATGTGTGCGACTTTGGAAATCAACTTTCCAACTACCCAGTTTTCCCGACAGTGAAACAGAACCCCAAAAGGCTAAACTGATTTGATAGCCCATAGACACCAAATCTGCAAAACTCCTGACTTTGATATTCAAATGCTTTGCTGATGCCATTGACATGAAGATATACTTTTATAAATCTGAGTTAATTGATAGAAAATAAGAGAAAGAAACCAAGATGGAGTGACTTAAGTCGCAGAACCAGGCAGTCTCCTCTGTGGAGCAAACACAAGCATTTGGTCCCCAGGGACTCACATACATTCCTGCTGTCAGTAACTTCTGTCTAACTTGAACTCCACGGTCACTCCACCTATGCATTACAGGGCTGTAGGGGAAATATGACCATCCCTTCATCTGGAGGTAGAGGGAGAAAGCCTAGTGTGATTGTGCACCTAGAACTTTCACCTGACTCAGATGTGTGTGGACCCCATATTCACACAGCATCCCCCAAGCAGCAGGGTGGGACAGGAGCCCTGAAACATGTGTCTGGTGTCTCACTTCCACCATGTCCCTCTGCATTTTAGATCTGTGACTCCCAAGTGGACAGATGTCCAGCATCTCATCGCCACACTATAGTGCTCTCAGAACAGAACTGAGCTCTCTGTTGTCTCAAGGGAGGCTTTGTCATGAATACTGATTAGTTAAAAGGGCACTCTGCCAGCTGGCCAGCAAATGACACATTAAGATCAATACTTCTCATGGTTCAGCTCCAAGGACTAGAAAGGTAATGGTGGTGTGGGGGTGGGGTGGGGGGAGGACCATTTACCTTGTCAAGATGGTTGTAGAAATCAGTGTTGGCTGCACAGAGGTACCGCCCCAGCAGTGTGGCGTGAGTGGTAAATACTGTAGCAATAGGAAGTTTCCGGGCTCGAGAAAGGATTAGTCCAATCCCCGCCTGCCATTCGTGAAAATGAGCAATGACACGTTTTCCATCCATGTGGTCTGTCACCTACAGCAGAAAAGCAGCGTTTAGGAAAATGGTTGAGGAGGCTTGATCTTGCTTATGGTTCAAAGCATAAGGAAAGTGAGACCTGCAAATCTGTTCTCAATGTCAGGGGGTCTAAATAGCTTGTATGCAGAGTTAGCAAGTGCTTAAGTGTGGTTCCGGAGTTAGTGGCATGTTCATATGAAGTCTACATATTTTTATGTCTTAATCCTCACGTTCAGGGGTGAGTGAGATTTATTCTTGAATCCAAAGAGGGACATCATTAAATAAATGCACAGCGGAACAGATGAATGAATAATGACAATAATAATGCCTGGAAGGTGCCCCTGAGAGCTGAACCAACTGCAACTACTCAGTTGCAAAATTCTGTTTCAATCAACAACGAGTGGCTCATGCTAAATCAGTCCTGTTTGGGTTTTGTGTTCTTTGAAGTCAAAAGCTTTGTGAATAATCTATTACTGAGAATGTGTAACTGGGGCGAAAGAGGCCAATGACTTACTTAGAATTAAATTGTTATTTAGTAGCACCCTGAGAACTCAGGTCTAATTCTAATTCTAATTCTTTTTTTTTTTTTTTTATTTTTAAGATTTATTTATTTGTTTATACAAGCACTGGGTGCAGTCAGAAGTGCAGGAGGGTGAGAGAATTCACCAGAGCCAGAGTGGGGAACAGAACAGGCAGACTGATGCAGGAGAGGTCTGTCGCGCCATGTGGGACCCTGGCCAGTGACTGGGATCAAACAGGCGCTGCAGAGGCTGAGGGCAGCTTGGCAGCCCAGCGCTGAACCGCTGTGCCACCGGGGGAGGCCCTCCTAATTCTAATTCTAATTCTAATTCTAATTCTAATTCTAATTCTAATTCTAATTCCAGACTGTTTGTAAAACTAGGACATCCTTAGTCTCTTTGCCTTAAGATTACTTTATTCACCTTTAAAAAAAAAAGAAAAAGAAAAAAATGCTCACATTACATTCAAGAAGTCTGAGCAGAGACCTGGGAAGTCTGCAGAATTAACCTGGACCAGTGGTCTTCCCCCTTAACAGGCATCAGGCCCATGGAAGGCTTGGGAAGCCCTGATGCCTGGGTCCCATCTCCAGGCAGTCCAATTTAGTAGTTTCAGGCTGGGGCCCAGAATTTGCATTTCTTTCAGGTTTTCAGGTGCTGCTGTTCCTGGTACATGTGAACATTCTTTGAGAACCACTGACTGAAGCTAAACCTTTGTCTTTCAAAGTACCAGCTCTTCAAAAAAATTCCTTGCAGCTGTCACAGTTGCCCTGATCACTGGCAGCAGACAAAGAGCAGAAACTGGGCCTGCCCTGCAGCCTTGGATTTGTTTTCATTGTCTTTATCCTTTGAATCTAAAAAATCTCCACTATTTCTGGAACTGTTTTACTTTAAAGAAAAGCAGAGCTCGCCCCTTGTTTCTCTCCCCTTTATTTCCCTTTAATGGAAAGGCTGCCTGCAGACAGACAAACATCTTGCAGACATGCCACACAGGCATGCACACTTGGTGTCTGACCTGAGCCCCTGGGGCAATGGCTCAGGGAGTCAGGTACAGAGGAAGAAGTGTCCCACCAACTGATGCTAAAACGAAGTGGCACATCCATCATTAGAACAGGCCCTAGCAGCACCTTCACCCTTTCTGTCACCAGCACAAAGCAATAGGACACCCCTCTCCACTCAAGCACACTTCTGGGTTCACATTAAGGCAGCCCCTGCTGGTTACTGGAATATATGACTTAGTAACAGGGCAATCCCCAGGGTAAGGGAAGGTTCCAGTTCCCTGTCCCACCCAAGGAATGGTGGAGCTGGGTAGGGAGGAGAAGTGAGAGAAGCCTGAAGGAAGGAGGAGATCACGAAGACCTGGAGGAGCCTCCCTGGTGGCGCAAGGGGTTAAAATGCAACCTATGAAGCTATCCGCAGCCACTGCAGCACGAGTTCGATCCCCAGTCAGGAAACTACCCACATGGTGCAGCAGACCTCTCCTATCTTGCCCGCTGCTCCCCTCAGCAGTGTGTTTCAGTCAATCTGCCTGTTCTGCTCCCCACTCTGGTGAATCCTCTCACCCCCACACCTCTGGCCTGTACCCCAGTTCTTGTATAAATAAATAAATCTTAAAAAAAAAAAGAAGAAGAAGACCTGGCGGAGGCAATGGAATAGAGCTATGTGGAGAAACTGAGCTTGCTTCTTGGCCTTGGACTGGTACCAGGGACTTACGGGACATGGATGAGAAACTTGAGACAGAGACGTGGGTGAGAGACCCGTGGGGAGGCTGACAATGGTCGTCTTTATCTTGACTTGGGTTTTGCATCATTGCTTTCCTTCCAGACTTGCCTGGGCCTTTCTGCCTCTTTTCTATGTGTTCTCACAGAAGGTGGCTTAGCCTTGTGGCAAGTTATTGGGTCTTAGAGGTCCTGCTTTGGGCCAACCTGTTTGGCTGGGCATTTGCCCTTGAGGGGATGGGTAATTTTGGGTGCTTCATTTGAAAACTATTTTTTTAAAAGATTTATTTATTTATGCATACAAGAGCTGGGGTGAAGGCTGGAAGTGTGTGGGGAGGAGGGTGAGAGGATTCACCAGAGACAGAGTGGGGAGCAGAACAGGCAGATCTGTTGAAATGCACTGCTGAGGGGAGCAGCAGGTAAGATAGGAGAGGTCTTCTGTGCCACGTGGGCCAGCTCCCCGCCGGCCGGGATCGAACTCATGCTGCAGTGACTTGATAGCTTCATGGTGTTGAGACTTAACCCCTTGTGCCACCAAGGAGGCCCCTAAAAACTATTTTTAACTATATTCTTTTTCTTCTCTTTCTTTTATTGCACCCAAATTGTAATATAGTTATTTTCTATTGAAGTTCTTAGGCAGAGTATGTTTTGTCTTAATGGGGCAGATGGCAGGATCTGTGCTTGGAAGATACCGACCACATTAGCAGGCAAGTTTGGGGGTCCTATGGTACTCCTCACCCTGCCCTGTTAACAGATTGTCATTTAGTCATATCCCCACTTTGCCTGGGATACCTTTTCTTCTTCTGATTTTTAGATTAGCATAATCATCTGGAGGTAATGCAGGGATCGCACAGAAACCCTACACTTAAACTGTGAAAACTTCAGAGAGCAGTCATGGTTCATGGAACAAAGACTGGCTTCGGGTACCCTCCCAGTTTTCTTTTTTACACCTATATGATATTTCGCCGCTATGGACTCCTTAGCGATGGCTGAGATAACTTCAGCCCCTAGCCAAAGACGAAAATATCAAAAAAGACACTACAGTTGTTCAGTACCCATGCAAAAGCAAAAGTGAATATTTTGAGTTATTTTCTACTCCCACCATGCTAGAATTCATGGACACAAAGTATGCTGTTTATTCTTTTTTTCTTGTGCATATTGAGAATCATCAAAATAGCAGGTGATGTAACTGGGTGTTTTATATATATATCATTCTATTTAAACCCGAAGTGAGGTCCTCCCTGGTAGCTCAGGGGTTAAAGACACAGTGCTACCAAGCTATCACCAGCCACTGCAGCATGAGTTTGTTCCCTGGCCAGGCTGGGAGCTACCCACACGGCACAGCAGACCTCTCTTGTCTCACATGCTGCTCCCCTCAGCAGTGTATTTCAGTAGCTCTGCCTGTTCTGCCCCCCACTCTCTCTGGTAAATCCTCACACACACATACACACCTCTGGCCTACACCCCAGTCCTTTTATGCATAAATACATAAATCTTAAAAAAAAACCCAAGTGAGGTAAAAATTAATATACATTATTGTTGCCATGTTCCAAAGGCCTTTATCTCATTGAAGAAAGACAGAACATTTGCTCAGATTTCTGAGGCTAGGCAAGGGTGATGTCACCTTGACATCATGGAGCACAAAGAGGTTGCGCATTTGTGTACAGTAAACGGTAGACTGTACCTCTTTTAAGAACCAGGAAGTTAAAGATCCAAATATCAGCATATCGTTGGCTTCTCGGTCATGGTAAGGGATGCCAACACTGCATGCTTCCCAGAGATCACCCTTCCACCTGTCCAGGTTCCAGGCCGAATAGCCTATGTCAAAGAGCACCACGTAAGGACTGCCTTCTATCAGCCATCTGCCGAAGTGCACCTGCATATAAAGAACACGCCGCCGTGTGGGCACATTAGGAAATGCAGCCACGGTTCATCTGCGCCTGGAAGATACCAACCACATTAGCAGGTGCAGATGAGACAAGATACAGAAAGTGTAGGCATAACACAAACCCTCCGCTTTTTGAAACTAAAGGAGGAATGGGCTTGTCCCAATTCTTTCAGACTTCAAATCCTTGGTGTTATTAAATGTGGTCATTTTAAAAGGGAGTGCACTGGTGCCCAGGCAGCACCAGACCCACTACTGGCAGAGGTGGATTCCTGCTCCTGGGGGCCTGGATGGATGGGCACCACATCCCTCTGGGCTGGTGGCACAGAGCACTGGGAGGAGAGTTGGCTCTCACTCTCTGAAGTTCCATGGGTGCCATCTGGGTAGGATCCTTGAAGTCTGCCTCCTGCATGGAAACTCAGGCCTGCTTTTCCCCCTGTAAGAAGTAGGGCTGACTACCGAGTTCTAGGGTGGTGAGAGCTGTGGTGCAGACACCATCTTGAGCAGCTGTCCCCTGCAAGGCAGCTTGAGCAGGTGCAAAGGTCTCCCCAGCACCCGAGTCGCTGCCTTCCCCTGCACACTCTGAACTGGTTTGGAGTCCTGGTTCCTCAAGTCGGCCCCAGTCCCAAGTCAGCTTTCTGCAGGGTCTGCAGCGGGCTGCGGCCGGAATCTGCATACTGGGATTCCGGAAGGAACTTCCACAGCTGGACCTGAGCCACCTGCCCTGTGACCACAGAGCTGGTCTGTGACACAGTATGTGTCCCTGTGCTGCCTTATCTCAGGCCCCTATCACACAGGCCACTTCCGTCACAGATGGCCCTGCCCTCCCCCACCCCTGCGATTGTTCTGGTCTGCAGGTTTCCAACGTTGTTAGGAGACTTAAGCAGACTGCATTATGTTGAAAGTCACCGTAGGAAAGACCCTTGGAGGTTGGTGTTCTCCCAGGACTGGTTCATAGGTTCATGGAGGGCCAGTGTGTTCCCGTCCGAACTAACACTTCATAGAGAATCAACTGTGGTTTCAAATTGCAGGAAGGACAAGAAGTGCATGCCTCCCTTTCACCAGGTCCTGAAACTTGATTTTAATGGAGGATAAACATATATAAACTAGCAGATCAGAAAGGTAAGATCCTCCTTCAATAAAAACGCAAACAACCAGAGCACATGTGCAGCCCTGGGCAGGTTTTAAGTTAAAAGCAAAACAGAGCTGACCTAGATTTTCAAAGAGACTCTAGGAAGAGGCCCTTTAGGTTTTTAAAAACCTGCCAGGAACAAGACTGGCCTCTTAATCTGTTGAAGGACCAACTGAATTTCCTAGGTGGGACACTGTGTCCCTGAATTATTTTCCTACTGGGTTGATGATATTTTTGGCAGTTTCTAGGAGCAGAATCTTTATGTTTGAGAAAAGTTAGTCCTTTGTTCATAATACAAGCTGTGTTTTTTTTTTTTTCCCAATTTGTTAACTTTCCTCACTGTGGTTTTCAAAAACTTAATTGTAAAATTAAACACATTGCATCAAAAATTAACATCAAATGAAAACAAAGTTTCTAGATCATGTATCTCTGTCCTTCTGTTCCTCATTACCCTCCTGTGACCTGGAGCTCATGATTTTAGGATTAAATATTAGGGTCTTTTATGATAGACTCCTCAGATGAGCTGCTCACTATCTTGAGCAACTTGTAGTTGTATGTAATATCTTTGGTGTCACGTATTTTCCTTTATGGAATGAGGCTTATGATGTTTTCTGCTAGCAAAAAGATGTTTCTGTAGACAAATGTGCATAATTTCTTTTATTCCTCCCATCCAAAACAAAAAGTAAGGTGATGCAAAGCATTTCCCATTATGACTCCTGCCACAGAGCTTAATCAATTGTATTGCCCAGGACACATTATCTCTTTAATCTAGCATCTAAAGTCTAATTGTATTCCAGTCTTCAAGCTGACTTCCTTTATTCCTAAATGTTTTATCTTTGCATGTTTCAAAAAGTTTATTTTTTATTGCAGTAACATTGATGTACACTGCCATATCTGCAAGTTATAATATATTAGCTAGCTCAATTTTTTTCCCATTTGTAATCATACAGTTATTGCAAATATCCAAGTTTTAACCTGGTCTCTATTTTTTAATTTACTCATTCTTCTGTCTTGATTTTCACTTAATCCTATCTAGAGAAGACTAGATAGGCAATGAGAGAGGCTTTTGGTTGCTGATAACTCCAGAAAGAAAGTGAAGTGATTTATGAAGTGGTATGCTATGTAATAGAAGAATAAATATAAACTGAAATCGGGACAAAGAATATGAATCAGAATTGGGATATCTCTGAGTTCTTTTAATTAGATTCTCTAAGGTGTTGATATTCCCCAAGGATTATTTGAAAACCTAGTCTATAAAATATTCTTAGTCTATAAATTTCATTGAATACTGTTGTCAACACCCATAACAACAACTCTAATTCAGATGCAAAATGACTTTCAAGCAAATATCTGATACCTTCTACTGAACTCCAAACCCATTATCCTATTAGACATTTCTCCGTGGTTTTTGCCACATGTCTCAAAAATAACCTATTTAAAATCAAAGTCATCATCTTTCTCACAAACCTGCTCCTTTTCCCCCAAGTAGATGAACAGCCTTCTAGAGAGTTCATGAAAACTGGTCTGTTTTTCCATAAGGGTTTTCTAAGACTTGGCGGAGTGAAGCTTTGGTCAGCATGTTTTACCTGGCAGCCGTGCTTGTTCATTGTGTCCACTGCTCTTCTAACAGCATCATTTACAGGCTCGCACTGTTCCACCTGAGTCTTCATATTGTGCTCAAAATATGGACCAATCAGAAAATAGTTATCTCCCCATTCATCGGCTGTGATTTTGGCCTTCGTCTGAATCACAGTATAGATGCCCCCAACTGTTCGAAAGAAGAGACCCGTGATCATTCTGGTTAGTGGTTTATTTTTAAGTGATGCAGGGATAGAGATGAACTGTCCTTTTTAAGTTAACATTTAGGATCCACCACACACAGGGGTGTATTTAACTTTTTATTTTTTTTAAAGGTTTATTTTATTTATGTATACAAGAGCAGGGGTACAGACCAGAGACAGAACAGGGAACAGAAGAGCAGACTGACTGAAATACCCTGCTGAGGGGAGCAGCGGGCAAGACAGGAGAGGTCTGCCGCGCCATGTGGGTTCCTCCCTGGCTGGCCGAGGATCAAACTCGTGCTACAGAGGCTGCGATCGCTTCATAGTGCTGTGCTTAACCCCTTGCGCCACCAGGGAAGCCCATATTTAACTTTTTAAAAGAGTGTTTTTAAGGGACTCTAGCAAATCATTAATAGTAGGTCTATTAGGTTCACTATTCATTATGCACCTATCTTTAGAGGCACTTCCCATTGGTGGCACCACGCTTGGTACCTTCTGAACAGGGGCAAGGAACTGATAGGTATGGAGGGGATCCTCTTCCCTCAGAATGAGGAATGCCCACCCCCAGTCAAAGCAATAACAGAGGTACACATTTTCCTGTGTTGTTTCTTTTACCCCCACCCCCATTACCGACACCACTATTAAAACACGAGGCCCAATATATATGTCTCAAGAGTGTGTGTGTATATATACATGTATGCACATAAACACACTTGGAAAATAGGAATATCCCTGGGTCCAGCAAGTCCAGCTTTAGAAAACTGTGCGATTTTGGGGGGGAGGGGAAAGGAAGGGGGGAGAAGTGGGGGAAGGGTGGATAAGGAGAAAGCCCAGAGATAGGAGTGTAGAGGCCCCGACCTGAACCTCTCTTCTGTACCTATATAACACTGTACACATCCTGAATAAATGAGACTAGCAATGATCCTGGCTTTGTCTCCACTCCTTGCGTACCCCTGTCCTACCTAGCCCCTGCTTCCTCCCCCGGGTACTACGTTAATTGCCTGGCAGGTCCGGACATAGGAGTATAAGGATATTTATAGAAGCATTATCTTGATGAAAATGTGTAACCAACATAAATGGAGCTAGTTAATTTGCTTAACCCGTCCAAGGTTCAATGAGCTCATCCTTCCATGGGGGCAGACTAGTACTCAGCCTGGGAGAAAGGACTCTATATATAGCAGCAGCATTAAAATTGTGTCTCATTGAAATGGTGATTTGTGAGCACTTAAAAGGGTGTGATTAGGTAAGCAGGCATAAGAGGGAAGAACTTTTTAGGCTGAGAGAGGTAGTTAGAATCAAGGCCTCATTTGGGACAGGGCGGTGTGCAAGTAAAGAGCAGTAGGTGTGGACGGGAGAAGGTTGAGATGTAGTAGCCAGGTGGGAGAAATGGGGAGGAACAAGAAAACCTTCAGTCATTGCAGGTAGGATATTTCCTATGTTGAATATAAGCAAGAGAATATAGAAACAATTTGAGTCAATTCTTGAGCAATACCTTGTTCATGAACTTTAGATGACAATGGTCTTAAGAACTTCTGTGTAGGGCCTCCCTGGTGGCACAAGGGGTTTTTAAGCACAGCACTATAGCGCTATGAAGCTGTGCCAGCCTCTGCAATACAAGGTCAATCCCAGGCTGGCCAGGTAGCTGCCCACATGGTGCAGACCTCTCCTGTCTTGCCTGCTGCTCCCCTCAGCAGTGTTTTCGGGCAGTCTGCCCCTTCTGTTTCCCACTCTGTCTCTGGTGAACCCGCTCACCTGCTGCAACTCTGGCCTATGCCTCAGTTCTTCTATGCATAAATAAATAAATCTTAAAAAAAAAAAAAGTTCATCCTTAAGAAAAATTGTTTGTACCCAAAAGAAACAAGGTGTTACTTGAGCACTGATAATGACACTGTCACTCACAGCTCAGATGCCAGTGATGGAGATTGCATGGACATGTGAAGAGGAAAGCCTCTCTCTCAGCAGAGCCCTCCAGACCAGACCAGAAGTGACACCCTTCACAGCCCTTCAACAAAGAATCTGGGTCTACCCCAGTGAATGTCAACATCAGGTACACCTAAGCAGTTCACCAAATTCCAGGAAATTTTAGGAACCATCAAAACTATTTATAGAGGAAAGACAAATTTAGAGAAATAATTTAAAAGGGCAACTGAAAAGAGAAAATTATCTTTAAAGCATGAGATTTACACCCTGGCAACATACCTGCATATACATAAATTTTATTTAAACCCACTAACCATAAAAATGCAAAATAGTTCAAATAGTTTCTTTTTTCTATAGAATTATTTCCTTCAACATCATCTTCTCGGGGGAAATATGTTATGCGGTTCTGATGGCACAAAATTACTAAACACCTTATTCATATTTCTATTCCTGAAAACTCATTATTTGCAACAGTGTGTCTTCCTCAGAGATGATAAAACGTCCTTGTTTGTTTGATTATGTGTTTCAAATTCATATACACCTGGATAAATGCAAACACAGTTTTATTTGTTAAAGGATATAAGGGAGAAGAGAAATTCTTTATTTGGAAAAAGGTGGATGGTTAGATTTGGGAATTGAAATGCGAAGATAAACATAATTAACTGATATGCTACTTCTTTTCCCATTTGAAACCTTGGGTCTTAATATAGTCTCCAAATAGCCTCAGGGTGTTTATAAATACAATGGATATGCTGCTTCCATCTATTCAGAATTAAAACATAAAAAAGAAAAATTTTACCCCATTTCGGTTGAGTCCTGGTTGTTAATAACCCCCTACTTTTCCCTGTGCACCATTTCTGTGGGAAGGCCTTCCTCTTTTTGTATTCCTCCTACTCAAGCATCTTAATAGCCCCTCTTTATCCTCCACATATTTATATACCAACTACTTCCCTCATTTTTTATACTATTCTTCACCTTTTACCCCAGATTTCCCTCCTGGAATGCTATCTAGAGGTGAGCGGGATGGTGCAGAGATAGGGTCACTCCTATCTTCAATTTTGGAGTGTAAGCCAAAGGTTCAGCCCCACACATATCTTTTTAATGAATTATTGTTTTACCTCAATGTAGGTCACTGAATTTGGACCTACCCTTCAATTTCAAACATGTACTTTGTGTTTTATTGATCTATATTTTCCTGAAACAACAGGGAACTCTCTTTAGTGTGAGGGCAAAGTATCAGACCTTTCATAAGAAAGAAAAAAAGATGAGCTACAGTGGCATATATGTCCATAAGGCACTAAAACGCCCTTTCCCCTAGAAACTCTGCTAATGTTGCTAAATTAGGTTTCCTATCAAAATAAAGCTATATATGGGACATCCCTGTTGGAGCAGGAGTTAAGTCTCAGCGCTATGAACGCTACCGCCTAAGTTCCATCCCTGCCTGAGTTCCACCCCGGGCCAGGGAGCTAACCCACATATGGCACAGCAGACCTCTCCTGGCTCACCCACTGCTCCCCTCAGCAGTGGATTTCAGTGGCTCTGTCTATTCTGCTCCCTACTCTCTCTGGTGAATCCTCTCCCCTGCTGCACCTCTGGCCTACACCCCAGTTCTTGTACGTATAAGTAAATAAATCAATCTTTGAAATATGTCAAAAAAACAAAATAAAGCTATATATGTATGCATGTATATTCATACACACACACAGATACATACACATTTATATACACACAAAGAGAGGAGAGACTCATCGCTGTTTTTAAAAGCCACAGAACAGGGAAGTGACTAATCTGACCCTCCTTCTCTAGACAACTGCCGAAGCAGGAGCACACACTGGGGACATCATTCCCTGAGGGTGCAGCACTGGTAGGAAACTGCTGCTGATGACTATGCCCAACAAATATTTATGTGGTAGCACTTTGCTGGGTGTGCAGTTTAAATCGCAGCAGCTGCAGTCATGGGCAGTGGGAGGTGATATCTGAGACCACGAACACCCTCCCCCACTCTGATGACACCACAATGGCAGTTCCAAATGGTGGGGGGGCATAGACAAGGCAGTCAGGACAAGAAAGATGTGAGGAAACAGGCTTGTTTTGAAATGATATGTGTACCAAGCATGACTTTTACTGTGCTGCGTGTGGTATGACCATTGACGTGTAGACTGCATATCCATGCAGGGCAGAGAACCCTCAACCCCACATACACAAATTATACTACTATGCAGGGATTCTGCTGTGAATGCAATATCCCTGATCATATCTTCTTCTGTGCTACGCCTGGATAGCATTGAGAACAAAATTACTTTCATTCTTCTTAATGGAATGCTAAACAGCTGCTAAGTTAAAATTTTAATCTCAAGTTAATCTTGAATTATTGAGAACACTATTAAACTTTTCATGATTATTAAGAGTATATGGAGTTCAAGTTTTAAATGTTTTAATCAGATGTGTTTCTTCCTAAAATAAGCACACACTTGTGGCTTTTAATTGAAAAAATTAATAAAACAAAAAAATTCACTTTTATTCCTGTTTTGTCATAAACATGAATTTCAAATTTTTAATTTAAAGGCCCATTCCCTGGAAACAGCTAATATTTTCAACTTTCTTCCCCTTCAGCACATACATAGCATGAGCCTGTTTTCTTGCCCTTTTAGAGACAAGGCTAATTACAACCTAAATTTACATTTGCTCACTCCTTGGCAGCTAATACATTCTCACTAGTCATCTGTGAAATCCTAATCTACATCTTCAACAACTTGGCAAACAGGCACCTTCAAGGGCAGTACAAACCTTTATTAGTCACTTCCCAAGCGACTTCAAAGAGCAGTAAGTCATCCACTGGAAGTTCTTCCACCTCCCACCGCGGAAGGCCGCTCAGGGATGTCACGGATAGGGATCGCCCCCGGAGCATTCTTCTTCCAGCCCCTGAAACTTTCCTGAAATGCCGAGGCTCAGATCTGAAGACCTCAGACTGTGGGAGAATCTCATAAGACTAAAACAGCAGAATGAAATCTTGATTCTTCCCAGAGAACTCCCTGTTGATGAGTGAATTCTCAGCCCCCTTTCAGTCTTTCTGGGCAGGTCCAGTGAAGACAGTATCTCCACACAATCCAATCATAAGTGAAATCCTCTGGTCTAGGGCTTGGGCGAGCAACCCCTCTGATAGTGGAATCCTCATAGGCTGAGCCTGATTCAGCTCCAGACCTTTAGCCCTTGTCCTTTTGACCAAACTCATAGACTCACTCAGTTACCAACGCTGGTTTCATCACTTCCCAAAGCCATCCAAAAGATTAGCAATTCTGCTTATAAAGATTTTGGACTGCTTTAGATTCCATGTAAAATGGATTGAGGCATGTTTCTATGCTTTAAGTCCTTTTGGATTTTCTAAAATCCTTCTTTTGATTCCTATATCCAGTGTGCTTTGAAAAATTATGCCTGGTTATTTTATTGTACACTTACAAATTGAGTTTTGATGATAAGCATAGATTTTTTGATACCTTTACTTAGGGTTTTTCTTAAAAATTTCCCTATGAGAAAGAGTAAATTGCAGTGTGCCTTTGGGTATAGTATATAAAGTATGTAATTTTGACTAATCAGAGATTATCAGATCATATTTTAATTATGTAGTAGAACTTAATTATAGTTGTATTTGTTTATTTGCCTCAAATATCAAATCGATAAGGGATATTTCAGTAAATGTAAAAATGTTCAGATATGGAAATTAGATTCTGAAATTTGACCAGAATCACCTGACTGATAAATGCCATATAGTTACTTTTCCATGTGGTTTGTATGTATATAAATATGTATGTGCTAATTTGTATACATACAGACACGTTCTATTTTGTGCCTGAGTAAAGACATTCATTCACAAAGATACTTAATTTTGAATCACTTTTATTTAGAGGTTTAGACTAAAGCCAGTATTTTTACACTTTTGTTCCATTTGGCCACATAATTGAAATTCAATCAAAATATCCTTCACATCAGATTTTATAGACAGAAGTCTCCTAGGATAACTTGTCATTTGTTCGTATTGTTATAAAATTCTGTATTAGACTTTTAGACATTTTCTGTGTAGTTGACCCTATTAAGCCTTTTTAAAAAATTACTTGCATTAGATAAATCATATTTCATTATGTGATATTAATATTTCACTTTGAATTAAGAAAATGAGGTATTTTCCATGATTCAGTGACATTTTTGATTCATTGTCTATAAAAGTTAATTTAAATATATAGATTATTATCCATTTGAGTAACAAAAAATTGTTATATACTGAACAAAAAGTCACGTACTACAATAGTAAAGATAGGAACCCAAATTGTCAAAATGACTTTTTCCTTCACAAAATGATTTGCTCTTGTTGACATAACCTTGGTGGGTCCTGCAAATAGAAATTCCAGTAAAACCAAATAGGAACATGTTGACAAGCAGTGAGAATCGGATGGCAGGGTGAGGACAGAACTTCACGTTTGCAGTGCTTGTTCTCAACAGTCCTAGGATTGCCTCTTCCAGGGTTGAACAAGCCCCAGCAGAGCAGGTTCACATTATCCAAATTATAGCATAAGACTTATTCATTTACACTCTGTGCCAGGTACCACGTGCCGTGCTAGCTTGTGAGGTAGTTACTCCTGGGTGACCCCGGGAATCCAATCTGCTGCTTATCAGCTAGGTAACCTCAAGCCAATTTCTTAACTAAGTTTTGGCTTTCTTCTTAAAATAGGGATGAGATCATTTATGTAAGGATCTTAATATAGTGCCTGGCACTAACCCAGCCACTTTAGCAATGCTCAGCCTTATTTATAAGACATGCAGTAGTCTATTAAAAATGTCCCCTAGTAGTAGCTGTTACTACTGCATATGACAGGAGTAAAAAATAGACTTATTTTTCTATTATTTGTTGAATATTATGCTATGAGCATATATTACCTGCTCAAGTAATTCATTTTTAAAACATTTTGGGAGAAAATAAACTTAGAGCCATTAGATATTTTATAATAAATGAAAATAAGAAATATATAAAGTAAAATATTCTGGCTGAGGCAATTTTATTAAAAAAAGTATACATCCATTTCTCATGAAGTATATATATAAATAGAAGATTGGGCCTCCCTGGTGGCACAGGCCGTTGAGTGCCGCACTGTGAAGCTGTCCGCTGCCTCTGCAGCACCGGTTCCATCCTGGCCGCCGGGCGAGAATCCCACATGGTGAAGCAGACCTCTCCTGTCTCGCCCACTTTTCCCCTCAGCAGTGTATTTCGTCTGTCTGTCTGTTCTGTTCCCCGCTCTGTCTCTGGTGAATCTTCTCACCCTCCAGCGCATCTAGCCTGTGCCCTGGTTCTTGTATAAAAATAAATAAATCTTAAAAATAAATAAATAGAAGACTGAAATAGGTATCAATTAAATTCTTCTAATGGTTTTCTCTAGGTGGTAATGATTATGATTAATATTTGTGAACTTTTTGGTTTACTTGTATTCTACGTCGTATATTTATTACATATATATATCTCTCTCTCTCACAGGATAGTTTTCAAAGGCTTAATCAACTCACTTCCTGATTCATTTCCTACTGTCATTATTGTGATCTGACAACCTAGTACTGAGTTCTATTGGGATTTTGACTAAAGAGCCAACTCTCTTATAACACATCATCACCTAATGCCCCTTCAAAGTAGATTCATGTATCTCTTTTGATCTTGCCATTCCCAAAATGAGGACACTGTTTGCCAATTCTTTTATTTATTAAATTTATTTATGTTTCCTTACATCATTGTTAATTTTTGGACAATATTTGATTTCTTCCCTCAGATATAGTCCCCATAGTTTTCTCACCACCATAGCACCCATGATGCATCACCATAGTCCCTTGTGCTCTTCCCTCTCCTGTTTTGACCCCTCTTCCTCCTCCTCCCCTGATGTATGCCTCTGATCTATGGTCAGCTTGCTAGTTTTGACTTTTTCCTGACCCTCTCTTCTATTCCTCTATATTCCACATATAAGTGAAACCATCCAAAAGCTATCTTTTTCCTTCTGACTTATTTCACTGAGCATAATCCCTTCCAGTTTCACATTGCCACAAATAACATGAGTTTATCTTTTTTGATGACTGAGTAGTATTCATTGTGTATATTTTCCACATCTTCATGATCCAGTCTTCTCTTTTAAGGCATTTGGGTTTTTTCCGTATCTTGGCTATTGTAAATAATGCTGCAATAAACATAGGAGTTTAGGTTTCCTTTCAAATTAGTGTTTTTGCATTTTGGGGGTAGATTCCTAGGAATCGCTGAATCATATGATAGGACCATTTTTAGTGTTTTGAGGATCCTCCACATAGCTTTCCACAGTGACTGGACCAATCTAAACAGTTGTAAAATGTTCCTTTTTCACCATATCCTCACCAGCATTTGCTGTTTCTATTTTTTTTTAAATTTGGGTCATTCTCATAGGTGCAAGGTGGTATCTCATTGTGGTTTTGATTTGCATTTCCCTGATAATAAGTGATGTTGAACTTTTTTTTATATGTTGCATTTGCCAAGTTTTAGTTTTCTAGTGGCAAATGCCATTTTTAGTGTTGCTCCCTGAGTCAGGAAGGGTGTTTGGGACCATATGAAATACATCCATGGGACAAATTGTCTTTTTTTTAAGGTTTATTTATTTATGCATAAAGAATTGGGGTATAGGCCAGAGATATGGGGGGTGAGAGGATTCACCAGAAACAGAGTGGGGAGTAAACCAGGCAGATTGATTGAAATACACTGCTGAGGGGAGCAGCGGGAGCGACAGGAGAGGTCGGCTGCACCATGTGGTTCATCTCCCGACTGGGGATCAAACTCGCGCTGTAATGGCTGTGGATTGCTTCATAGTGCTGAGACTTAACCCCTTGCACCACCAGGGAGGACCCCATGGGATTAATTTTCATCTATCCATTGTATCTGAGTGAACTCCCTTCTTTCAAAAATATATGTAAAGAGAAATGAAGTCAACTCTAAGATAGGAAGGGATCAGAAAATGTTCTCTGCTTCCTCTATTCCTGATTACTCTAAAATTTGTGCTAAACGTACAAATCATTGAACTGGGAGCAGAAGGAGAACAGACATCATGCAGAAAGAAAGGTTGGGTTTCTCCAAGATGAGAGAAGGACTCTTAAAATTCTTGATCCCTAATTTCACACTCACACCAGCATTTTAGCATTCAATGAAAATAGCTGAGAGGGCAATTAGGGGGAAAAAAAACAGACTTGTTTTTGTTTTCCTTACTCATTATTCCAGCAGGGGTCGCTAGGGGCACTTAGAAAACCACACATTTGTTTCACTGTTTTGGAATCTTATGGAAGCCTTTCAAGATTTTCAAGACTTGAGTAGTCCACACTTGCATATCCAGAATAATTCAGTTAGCATACTTATAGATACCTACTACATGCGACTATTCTAGGAGTTGAAGGTATATTCAATAAGCAGTAGAGACCTTGGGTTTGCATGGACAAATGGACATTAATCATGTAAATAAATAAATAAATTCTATTATTTCAGGTGCTGCTAAGTTTCTGAAGAGGGGAAAAAAACACACAAGAGTAGGGAGAGACATTGAATAGAGATATATGTGTTACTTGGGCAGGGCATGGAAAACTGCTCTGAGGAAGTGATATTTGAGTTGAGACACAAATGATGAGCACACTTGAAGCTCTGGCAGAAGAGATAGCAATGCCTTCAACTCTCACAGGGATAGAAGGAAGACCAATGTGTCTGAACCCTCATAATAATTGAGGGGAGGTCTGGAGAGAGAGGAAAAAAATTTTGTTGTTTATCTTAAGAACAAGGAAAAACCATATTTTACTTTATGTATTTTTAATTTTTAAGTCGGACTGTAACACCCAAGTAGTAAAGTGTAGAAATTCTAAGTCCATTGAATG